CCTCCATCCCTGACACCACGGCCACTTTGCATATAAAGTCATTGGATAATGGCAGGAATGGCTAAGGAAAGAGGCTGACTGGCATTCACAGAGTGGGTCATCTTATCTACTTGATTATTAAACTCTTTCTCTGCTGAGGTCACCTGTTGGTTATCATTCATGTAGGACAGAAATTGCTGTATGTTTTTTGTTCATTAACACAGGTTTATTTACATACCTCTTCCCCACATTTCCTTGTTACCAATTTTTCTTCCAAATCCCTTACCATCCAGCCAAATGACTGGCTATAGACGATGAACTGTTAGATAATTGCACATGTGGCCATTTCTCCTTCCAAACAATGTGAGCAACAGGTGTACTGCTCAAAGTTTCAGCCCACTGGGAGAATTTGCCTTTACCACTGACTTTCAGGGGTGTCCCAGAAAGTGGCTTTATGCTGCAGCTCCACATTATAGGGTGGTGCTTGTGTATTATGCAGGCCCATCTGTAAACTAGGCTTGAGTCTCCTCTTCTTCTGTCGACTGGTCATAGGGAACTTCCTATGAGGCCATAGGTGCATTCTAGGAGAGAGAAAGAAGTGTAGCAGGAGTGGGGATTGTAGGCATTTGAGCCACTTCTTCAAGAAACTTGTGCATTCAGGGCTTGCTCAGGCCTATTTACATATATACCACTTCCATTTGATGATGGACTGCTGCTGATCATGCCCAACTTTATGGTTTGGTAGGTCACAGAACTCCCAGTTCATGGTGGGCATTTCAGGTCACATAGTAAATTGGTGGCCCATGGTTATGCATTCNTACCCCAAACCACTGGACCTCTAGAAATTTCTCTAAGAGAGTAGACCTCCAAATTCTTGTCCGTTTATTTTCCGCCCTTATCCCTAACTATTCTTCTTAGATATCTTCATAAATGATCTAAATTTTTGTGTTTATATGAATGAATTTCTAAGTATTCATATTTATTAAATCAGTTTGAATAAAATCTATTTAACCATACAAGTGGATGTTTAACACAAATAATAGTTACAATTTTTAATGGTGAACATGCTAGTAATATTGATTTGATCTTCACCTATTGTAGACAAATACAGATAGTTGACTCTGTACCCCATTTATACATATTATCAATTATGTTTCTATTGTAAAATTTTAAAAAAAATTGTATGAGCTTTTGCACAAAAATGGTTTATAACAAACCACTCAAAAATTCNAGCCTTGGTGAGTGGAAGTCTCTGTTACTGGGCCCATGCATAACCTCCATCCCTGACACCACGGCCACTTTGCATATAAAGTCATTGGATAATGGCAGGAATGGCTAAGGAAAGAGGCTGACTGGCATTCACAGAGTGGGTCATCTTATCTACTTGATTATTAAACTCTTTCTCTGCTGAGGTCTCCTGTTGGTTAGCATTCATGTAGGACAGAAATAGCTGTACATTTTTTGTTCATTAACACAGGTTTATTTACACACCTCTTCCCCACATTTCTTTGTTACCAATTTTTCTTCCAAATCCCTGACCATCCAGCCAAATGACTGGCTATAGACGATGAACTGTTAGATAATTGCACATGTGGCCATTTCTCCTTCCAAACAATGTGAGTAACAGGTGCACTGCTCAAAGTTTCAGCCCACTGGGAGAATTTGCCTTTACCACTGACTTTCAGGGGTGTCCCAAAAAGTGGCTATATGCTGCAGCTCCACACTATAGGGTGCTGCTTGCATATTGTGCAGAACCATCTGTAAAGTAGGCTTGAGTCTCCTCGTCTTCTGTTGACTGTTCATAGGAAACTTCCTATGAGGCCATAGGTGCAGGCTGGGAGAGAGAAAGAAGTGTAGCAGGAGTGGGGATTGTAGGCATTTGAGCCACTTCTCCAAGTAACTTGTGCATTCAGGGCCTGCTCAGGCCTATTTACATATATACCACTTCCGTTTGATGATGGACTGTGGCTGATCATGCCCAACTTCATGGTTTGTTAGGTCAGAGAACACCCAGTTCATGGTGGGCATTTCAGGTCACATAGTAAATTGGTGGCCCATGGTTACGCATTCAATCTTTACTAAGGCCCAGTGGTAGGTCAAGAGCTATTTCCCAAAAGGAGAGTAGTTACCTGTGGAATATGATAAGATTTTGTTCCTAAGTCCTAAGGGTCTGCATTTTGATTCATGTGTAGGGACCTGCCAGAGTCTTTAAACAGCATCTCTAGATAGACACTGATACTTCAAGTACCATTGAATCTGCAGAATCATATGGCCTAAGGGACAGAGCAGTTTTCATAGCAGTCTGGATCTGTTGCAGAGCCTTCTCCTGTTCTGGGCCCCACCCCAAACAAACTGCTTTTCAGTCACTCAGTAAATGGGGCAGAATAACATACCCAAATGAGGAATATGTTGCCTCCAAGTTCCAAAGAGTCACCCTAGCATTGTGCCTCTTTTTTGTTGTAGAAGGGGCCAGATGCAACCATTTATCCTCCCCCTTAGTAGGGCTGTCTTGACATACCCCAAACCACTGGACATCTAGAAATTTCACTAACAGAGTAGACCTCCGAATTCTTGTCAGTTTATTTTCCTCCCTTATCCCTAACTATTCTTGTTAGATATCTTCATAAATGAGCTAAATTTTTGTATTTATATGAATGAATTTCTAAGTATTCATATTTATTCAATCAGTTTTAATAAAATCTATTTAACCATACAAGTGGATATTTGACACAAATAATAATTACAATTTTTAATGGTGAACATGCTAATAATATTGATTTGATCTTCACCTATTTTATACATATATGGATAGTTGACTCTGTACCCCATGTATATGTATTATCAATTATGTTTCAATTGTAAAATTAAAAAAAATTGTATGAGCTTTTGCACAAAAATGGTTTATAACAAACCACTCAAAAATTCAATGGCTCATGACCTAACCATTAACATTAACATTCATAGATACCTATGTTAACGATAACAATAATTTGGCTGACCCTTGCAAGGTTCCTCTGGGTGGTTCTGCTGCAGGCTATCGAGCTGGCCTCCAGCCTATGACTTGTGTTTGATATGGGGCCAGTGTTGGATGGGTCACAACTGCCCAGGGTAATAAATAAAATCCCCCAAACCAGCTGCAAAATTGAATTTAAGTCTAAAATTCTTTAACACACAGGCACACAAATTTTGTTCTCCATTGGTTTTTAAAACCTTTATTCAATTTAATTTTCAAGGTGTTTGGCCATACCAATGGCAAATGATTATATTTTCCAATTTTTGCCATCCTATTTTTTTCAAAATTAATTTTGTATTAATTGGGAAAGAAAGGAAGTCCATTTTCACCATGGCTTTAAATAGAAATATCTTTGTAAGTCCACATCAGAAAAAATTGTCTCTTTAGTTAAAATAAATGTCCATTTAAGCATAGCTTCTTAAACCTTATATGGATCCTCTAGTTTCTTGGTAAAAATGCATCTTCTCATCTGTATATGTAAGGTAGGACTTGCTATTTTTCATTTCTAACAAACCCTCATTGATGCTGTTGAAGTTGCTGGCATCTGGACACATTTTGAGCAGCCAGATATTTGCATATTAAGAAGATGAATATTTCATCTGCATTTGCTTTTTATAATCAACAGATCTTTTAAATTTATTTGTCTAATGATTGGTATGTACTTGTATTTAAGACAATTTTCCATTTTTCTATTCTCCCAATGAATTTATGAGGTTTTCTTGCTGTGATCCCAGACTTGCTGATGACAATTTGAAGCACTATCAAGTGTATTTTTGGGCCATCCCCTAACTGTCAAATTTCTGAGAGATGGGGAAAATAGTGATTGTATTAGTCCATTTGTATTGCTTATAACAAAATACACAGAACTGGGTAACTACAAAGAAAAAAATATATTGCTTACAGTTTCTGAGGTTGGGAAGCCCAAAGTCCATCTGGTGGTAGCAAAGTGACCCAAGGGGTCTCACATTGCAAGATGGTGGAAGCAGAGAGAGAGAGAGAGAGAGAGAGAGAGAGAGAGAGAGAGACTCTGCTCTTCTTTTAAAGCCCTCAGAATCATGCCCCTGACCATCATTTTTAATCCATTCACTGCTGCACAATCCTACAATCTAATCATCTCTTCAAGGCTCCACCTTTCAATTACCGTAATAGGATTTCCCACCCTTTTAACAGTCACAGTGGGGGCTAAGTTTCTAACAACCAAAACTTGGGAGACAATTCAAGCCTCAGTGAGTTTTGAGGGGACATAACTCAATCCACTACAGTGACCATACTGGGCTGTTGCTGTCAGTTCTTCACCATCATCATCATGTTGGAAGCACATTTCACAGAATCCCTCCCCCTTCTGTAGTTTTCTGTATGGTTGCTCAATAAGGGGACCTCCCCTGAGATTTGGAAGTCAGAGAAGGATGCATTACTATTCATCAGCATCTGTAGGCAGATGTGTGGACAAAGGATAAGTGTGGAAAATCACCTGGTGAGGTGTTATGGGTAGCTGAGAGCATCAGCATCCCCACTTCTGGGCTTCCCAGACAGGTCTAAGGACCACATGGTTAGGCAGCCTGTGCCATCAGTGGCAGATGTGCTCTGGCTTCTGGAGGAGCACCAGACAATCCCCATTTGTAGCATCTGCTTCCCTGATTCCATAACCCCAATACTTTGAAAGACTATAGTTTAGACATTAATTCCCTGTATTGAAACAATTCCTGCTTGGAATATCCAGATTGGTTTCTCTTTTGCTGTAGAATCCTTGATTAATGCCATAACCCAGAGTCATCAGTTATAATCATCTCTTTTCTTTATCAAATCAGGAGATATATTGTCATGTTTATGGTGTTTGGGCTGAGGAGAAGGAAAGAATGTTTATGGAGGAGCCTTCCTGGCCCCTTCTACCAAAGCCTTCCAGTGACCTTCAAAGCTTATGTGCATCTGAAAAATGCTCTCAGCAGATTAGGGCACCAGGAGGAGCAGCTGGGGCAGCCCAGCCTCACACTTCTGATTCTCTGGGGGTTTATGTGAGGGCTTGTAACACTGTGGGAGGACTACTACTATACTGTTGACAGTAATAAGTTCCAACATCTTCAGAGTCCAGGCTGCTGATGGTGAGAGTGAAATCTGTCCCAGATCCACTGCCACTGAACCTCGAGGAGACCACGCTTTGCAAACTAGATGCCTTATAGATCAGGAGCTTAGGGGCTTTCCCTGGTTTCTGCTGATACCAATTTAAATAACTGCTAACACTCTGGCTGGCCTGGCAATTGAT